GGAATTATGGGTTTGGGATTTTCAAGGTTTTAGTCCTCATTGGCTCATATAGGTCCACAAGGTTAAACACTTGCAATTTATCCTTATTTAGGATTAGTTTCCCTTTGAGGACATTTCCTTTGATAAACTAAAAGTTAAGCATGCATTGGTTTTATGCCCATCTTTCATAAATGAGTTACATATGTGCTTTGTCTTCTATGATCGATCTATATGTGCAAACTTCAAGAATATCATCTACACCTAATAGTCAAAATAGTCATTAGCTATTATATTGTCAAAAGTCATCATTTGTATATCAAAACTAACATAACTATTAGTGACAAAAATCATAGTTACCATAACAAGTGCATCTATTGCATTTATATTTAGAAATGGATCATTACCTATTCCCATTTAATCATTATTATATAGGAATTTGAAGTTTTTGGCCTCTATTAGATCTTGTATAACATTCATGAACACTATGTAATTTTTAGTTGCATATACCGATACTCAATACCACTTAAAGTATAGTTTTCTAATCTATTCCAGGTTTGTAAAAGTTCTATTTTTTCCATGATTCTAACTATTTCATTCGCCACCGACCAATCAAATATTTAACCAGTTTAGTTTATGTCAAAGGAATAGTGCCCCTGTTTGGTGGACTTGAATGATTTCACAACTCAAGCATTTTTCTTAATAAGAGCACCACATACTAATAGAGTTTTTTAGATGAATTATGCCATGTCAATTTCTAATAGGATGGGTTTACGGTAGTAGGTTCCATAGATCATATATTTTCCATCCCTTTCTTCTTTTAGCAAGCTTTCATATCTAGAAGCTCTTATACCTAATTCATACACATCTTTAAAATTCATTCCCTCAAACTTCTTATCGAGTTAAAATTCCAAATCTTGTTGGGCTATACCTAAAAATTCTTTCTTAGGGATTTTTGCATAACGCTTAGCCCTAGATTCTATAAAACTATCAAGATATTCTTTAATAGACTCTCATATGCATTATTTATCTTACCAAATCCGATAATCTAAATCGGGTTTTAAAAAATGAGCTTGGAAGATAGCATGCATATCTTATCAAAGAGTTTGAAAACAACCTAATCTTTAGATAGTCACAATCGAAGAATCTCTAAATTGGCAAATAAACCCGGCTATATATTCCAAAGTAGTGACTATCCCTTATCCTATGAATAGAGTGAATCAAAAAATTTAAAGTTAGGTGGATATAGATAATCCCTATCTAAGTATTTAGGATATGGATAGTTATATGTTAGCCAATGAATTTGCTAGATTCTAGGGGGGAAAACTTACTTTACAACCCCTAATATATATTTTAAATTTGGTTAATAATGTTCTTACAATAGCTAATATCCTATCCTAAGGTCATTGGATAGTAGTCACCACCTTCCTATATTTCTTACAACACTAGCTCTTTCATTAGGGGGTACATAGAGATGATTCCTTCCCTCTAGGGATTCTAAAGGTTCTCTAATAGGTTCTCTTTTGTAACAAGTCTCACATAGTGTGATAGGTTTCTACTTAGTTATAGGCTTAGATTCTTTTTCATATTGGGTTTCACCTAAGGTGATAGGTTTTTACAAGTTGATTAAGGAGGTTGCCTAGTTTCAAAATGAGGATTCTCTCTTACTCCATAGCCACTAACATCATTGTAGTAATAACTATACGCCCTCCTATATGGGATGGCTCTACAAGATCTAGGTTGGTCAATATTTTTGTTATTTTCTCTTCTACTTGATTTCCTACTTCCAAAGCCACTTTTTTAGATATCTTTTGGATCGCTTCGAACATGCCATGATTAAAATCATTAATAACATCATCAAACCCCTTTTTGATTATGGGTTCAATATACTTGCTAACATCTATGAGGGTTTGATTCAAACCTAAATGGACTTGTTTTTCTATGTTGTGGAAAGCTTTTAACTCATGCCTAATTCTAGAGACTATGTTATGTCTCTTTTTGAAATTGGATTCTAGATGAGTTGTCCTATCATGGGTAATCATTAATTTCTTATAGTGAATTTCTATGGCTTCTTCTTTCTTTCTTTTTTTCCTATATTATTCTTTTGACTATTGAGTAAAGGTTTTATGTTTGATATTTACTTCTTTTATGGCCTATTTAAACCTTTCTTATAATAAGATATGTCATTCTTTGACTTTCATCATGACATGTTCTTCTTTAGGTTTATTGGAAGTCACAGTAGATCATAAACTACCCGCTTATGCAACAGCTATTGCATCAAATGGATGAGTTTCCTCACCTTCATCCTATGCAGATGAAACACTATTAGATATTCTAGGTGCCATCTAGAATAACAATCCCACATTGGTTCTTTTGTGTCGGCCTTAATTAAGAGAACTTTAAAATAAAGGAATCGTATGAAGGTTGGAAGACAATATGTAGGTTAATCTATCTTCCTTCAAGACTCTCAATTAGATGGATAAAATTGCTATATATATAGTATTTGTAAGTAAATTTTAATGAACTCCATATATCAAAGTAAAACTAGCTTTCTTTCTCACAATTAGAAATTATAGATTGCAAAACTGAATGAAACTAAAATTGGTAGATATTGCATTAAAGGTTTGTACAAATAGTAGTAACACTAGAAAAAAAATACTTATAGATACTGAAAGTGATGAAAAAACACCAATTGAAACTCAAAACATTAGAAGATAGGATATGCATGTGTAGTAACGAAAGTGACAGTCGAACTACAAATGATCTACAAGCCTATAATTACTACATACTTGATTACACATACTTGATTACATCCTATTTGATTATAGCCTACTTGGTTAATATCTACAAACCATAGCATGTTTTTGTTTTAGGTGTTCAAAAGATAAAGTTGATAATTTATAAGAGTTGTAGTATTGTGTTTATTGTATTCATTGCGTGTTTCTCTTTTATGGTTGCGAGTCGATATTTATAGTCCTCCCATACTTTTACTTTCTTTTTTTCTAGCCATATTTTTTAGTTTAACTTCCTTATTTGAGCTACAATGCTCCATGTTTTCCTTAGGTTGCAAAGCTCCATGTTCTTTATTTTTTCAACTCATTCATTACAATATAATCATGTTCCTTTATTTCTAGTTCTAGCCATTCAAATTTTGGTACTTCTTGTTATCCTTTCCTTACGAATAGGATTGGCTTTCGATGTCTTTAGCCTACTATATAATTCTATTTAGAATTATGTCAAGTCTCTTTAAAGATAAAATTTTTTAGGCTTTTTTTTCTCACGGTTGGGCTTTATCTTATGGATTTATCTTTGAGTGATACTAATGGCTTTTAAGGATTTTTAATGTGAGCTTTATAACTAAACTCTCATTAAGCCTTCACTAATTTGTTGGGTTGTCAAACTCTAACTAAAATTTGACATAACACAATGATAGTTACTTGATGTAATTTTTCAAGCAAATTGAAAGCACAATCTACTACAAGAAAACTATGAAATAATGACAAAAATCAACAACAAATTTAAGTCTCGTCAATAAATAGTGACGAATTAGCAAACAAACTTTGACTCGTTATTAACATGTGGATTTTGACAACGGAACACCGATAGACTAGCAACGAATTGTCAAAATTGGACTTAACTATATCATTGAATATGGTGGTAAAATATTTATGGGCATATTAGAGATGGTTTAGTGAGGGAAATACAAGAAAAATTAGTGATAGAATCATAATTTTAGTGTTGTTTTTAATTTAGGAGTGAGCAATAGAATTTCCATTACCGATTTCATATTTCTCTCTCAAATTAGCAATTGAAATTCCATCACTAATATTGAAAAAAAAGGCAAACTCATTTATTCAAAATTAATGATAGAAACAAGCAATGAGATTACATCTATCGCTAATTCTAAATCCTTAAATCTAGATCCTTTTTGTTATTTCCCTATTTCTATATTTCTCTCCCTCTCCTACCTTTTGGCTTTAGCTCCAATCCCTACCAAAAACCCCTATAAACCCGACTCCTCCACTTCTTAGCAATCCCACCCACTTTAAACCTTTTTACCCTTAAAAATCCATAAATTTCCTCCTTTCTCTCTATCTCTTCCATCTTCTCCCTCATTTCGAAGGTAACGTCTCTCTCTCTCTCTCTCTCTCTCCTTACAAAATTTTATTATTTATAATTTTTATGTTAATTTTGATTAATTGGTTGAATTTAATTGTTAATTGGTTGATAAGTTTGTTAGTTTGTTATTTTTTATAATTTTAATTAATTAGTTGAATTTAATTATTAATTTGTTAATTTTTTAGTTTTGATAATTGTTGGGTTAATTTTAATTAATTGGTTAGTTTGTTAATTAGTTGGTTAGTTGGTTTTTTTTATCAAACAAGGACGATACCTTGACAATTTATTAATAAACAAAGAGGACAATCCAAACTGACCCAACAACTAGGAGGACAAGGAAGCTAACTTTGAAAATCTTCAAAACTCGTCCTAAAGAAACAGGATAATGAAATATTTCACATCTATACTTAGTACCCTTAACTTGTTAAAATAACATAAAAAAAAATTATAATAATTGCTCAAAGCTCTAGTAAACCTACACATAATTTTTCCTAATTAAGTTTCATGCCAGTTGAAAGTTAAAGAATCTTGATCTATCCTTTTAGAAGAGTTTCCAAGTAACACATGAGAAGATCTTGCAAATTGAAAATGGTTTTGTGAGATTGATGAAGATATGCCCACCTTGCCGACCCATCTCGCCACCTTGTTTCCTTTTCGACCATATGTTGTAACCTTGTCCATGGAGTCAAATTACCAATACACTCTCTGTACAAATATGTTAGTCGCCATGGATAAGATGTTGAGCCAAAAAGTCCCCTAAGTATGAGAGCTAAATCCGACTCAATGATGTTTATCGTGAGTCTATAATGATTGGAAATTGCAATTCCCTCCATAATTACTAAGATCTCTCCCTTATTATTGGATCTTAAATAATAAAAGCTATAAAAGGCCATGACTAGGTTGCCTTATTCATCCCTAAGTATGCCTCCTCCACTACAAATATTATTTCTCGATGAGCCATCTATATTCAACTTGAGAGAGCCAATTGGAGGAAGACTCCATTGGACCCAACTACCATATCCCATGTTGGCAAACTTCATTAGATCGCTTAAGACCCGTAAGCACACTCTATGATGAAATGATGAAGCCTTCCTTGGAGTGAACATTCTATTGATGTCGGACAGCTAGTAAAGCACTTTGTGCTTGATAGCCACAACCACGAGCTCCCAAATGATGTAATTAAAAGCAATGACTCGAGAGACTAATTTTTATGAGAGAGGGATACCTTTAGAAAGTCATCTTGTCATGAGTTGTTGGAGAATCATGCTTCCAGTAGGAATATCCAACATGTCTCCAAAATAATTCCAAGTTTGCTTGCCAATGTCACTAAAATGGAACATGTGCTCGCCGAACTCCTCTTGCGGGTCGCTATTGCATTGAGAAGCTATAGATATCCCATAAGACTTAATATTTGACTCCACTACTATAATATTGTTCAAAAATTTCAAGACCATGAACCGATTTACCATAGAATCCATTTGTTCCATAAGCTTGTCCATAACTCAAACGTCTAACCAAGAACTCGTTAAATTCATAATAGACTCTACTACTAAACTTTCCTAAGATAGAGTCCATATACCACAACCTATCATCCACGCTACTATCCAAAAGTAGCCTATCCAACTCTTCTCTAACTTGTTGTAAGAGAGATGCATAAACTTGTGCATTGCTTTTAGCTTAAGCTAGAGTAACTCCTTGATCCAATATAGGAGGTAGGAGGTCTACCAACATCTACCTATCCCTCCAAAATCTAATCTACCCCATTCTAGCTACCCAAAGTAATCTATCCAAGCAAGACTTGTATATAAGGCATGATAGATTTTCATACCAATGACCCCTCGCATCTATCCATGCTTAAAATCCATCCGGTAGTCCATACTTAGCTCTAACAAAGGAGCTTCACATTAATGTAGTTGATAAGTAAGCCCATGCAAGTTTACTTTTCATAACTTGTATTACCTCTTTCAAATCTCTCACTTCTAATCCACCTACTTGTATAGGTAGGGACACTTTGCACCACCTTACCTAGTGATGTGGATTCTCACCCTCACTATTCTAAAATAAGTTAGATATGTAGCTTTATAGCCTAGCTAATGTGGTTTTCAGAATTAGAAGAAATCCCATAGTGTAGATGGGAATTAAGAAAAGAAGACTTTGTATTAGTGTTAGCTTACCCCTAACGACAAGAGTTTCCTTTTCCATCCAAGTAACCTCTCTTTCATTTTCTATTCCAAGAAAGCAAAGTAGTGTATACAACTTCTCCCTTTAAACAACTACATACATAAATATTTTATAACATTCTAAGTCACAACGAAGCCTATCCATATAAAGAGCATACCTTTCATACTATTTAGCATCAAAATACTACAAAAATGGCTATCTCATTTTTACAAGCCATCTAAATATTTACATCTATATTATTACTCCTACATTTTCATTTTCTATATAATCAACCCACAATCTACTGGAAATGATAAAACAATACTCTTAACCCAAAAATATATAACATTATTCCTAAACACACTAATAGAAATACATGAACTACCTCAACCTTTCACCTGCAAGTAAGATACACATGACGAGATGGACAGAAAGCCCTTGACAAGGATCTCTAAAGAGAAATAAGCCATCATACACTATTCTTCTTATCTACACCATATGAACTAGATTAGCTAAGCTCATTAAGTATAGTCATGAATGAAATGCATGTGAAATACATTTTAAAAATCCTTTTCATGCCTATGAAGTTCATTTTCCTCCTCGGGTGCATCTTGGTGATTGTACATATAATCGATCCTCTATTAAAACATATAATTATGAAAAATATCAAAAAAACACTAGGTATCTTCCCTTTTTTCTTTTCCCTCCTCCCTTCGGTAAAAGGACTTTTACCAATTAATTACCGCAGGGTGATCATTCCTCTAAAAATAACATTTCCTTTTCCTTTTAAAGGCACCTAGCCATTTTTCTTTGAAAATTCATGTCTTTTTCCTTTATCCATTTCCTTTAAAAATCTTGCCACAAATCATTTCATGTTGTTGAATGATCATTCATCATATGGAGGTGCGAAATAAAATAAAAAATTTCCTCCATCTAAAGAGCTCAAGATCATGTTGTTGAATCAACTAATCATATATTCATGAATTAAAGCTTTAAATAAAGAACTACCTCTTGTATTGTAGATTCAAATCTTTACAGAAAAGAATCATCCAAGTGTCCGACTTCTATCGATAGTCCATACAATCAAAGCACCACACAAGAAGCACTCAAAATTAATATAGTGCTAGCTCTACCTTTTCTAAATTTGTTTAATGTTTATACTTTAGCAATCTAATAGGGTAACTTTATGATAAACCAAGGAGAGAGAGAGAGGGAAGGTGGCATGTGCTAGGGTTAGGGAGAAAACAATTTTCTCTTTATTTTTCTTGAGAAGTCGTGTGCATTAGAATATTTCCCTTTATGCTCGTTTTTCCCTCTCGATGAAACCTTACCTTAGCGCACCTCTCTCCCGCATATTTATATGAGAGGCTTTCTTGTCCTCCAAGGATAAGGAAGGAGCAGCATTGAGTCCCTAGAGGACTTTAGATTGTTGCTTCCTAATCCTCCAAATATTAGGACTTATTTTGTAATTGATCTTTTTTGATCTTATCTTTAAAACATTCATCCTTATCCATTAAGGTTCATATTTATCCTCTCACCAAAATATCTTTCAGGCTTTTAATTAAACCTATTAGCCCAAAATTATTTTAGCACAATTAATTAATTTTTACTATACAAATAAATTAAGTTAAATAATTTTAGGAGGTCCACATTAGGAAATAATTTTCCAAATTACCCTTAAACCTAAATGAGGAAACTAATTTTTATTTTAGGTTTTTTATTTCTAAATTTGGAACTAACTTCCAAATTAAGAAATTGATTTCTAAAATAGAAAACTTTTCATTTTAGAAAACTTTTCATTTTCAGAAACTTTTTCCAAAATAAGAAACTTTCAAAATTGAAATTTTTTTCCAACATATTTGCTTCTCTTTAATCATGTGAATGCTTAAACTTATGCGTTTGACTTAATAGGCTTCTAGATATGTTGGCAATATATCAACAATAAATTACATTTTTTTATCTCATGAAACATAAATCAAGATTGGCCTCTAGCTAGGCATCTTGACTACCTAATTCTCTACGAGGATTAATTAATCCGTACTTACGTTCTGTGAGCATGGTTATCATACAATTTATTCCTCATGTTAACTTATCACAATGTGATCTTGAACTTAGTTATTAGTCTTATTTGATCATGTTCACGTAAATTTTCTTCGATTCCTAAATATCTTAGCTCATAGAGTGAACCAACTATGCTCTATTGGTGCACTCCTACTACGGCCATAGATTTCTTGAGTAGACATTCATCAAAGTGCGATATGATAATTCTATCAGCATACAAAGAATGACATAACCTGTCTTAGTCATCCATCTACCTCCATTAGATTCTTAGCGTACCCAACAAATTACCCACGTGCAATCCTTTACTAGATCTATCAAAACGAGTGTCAAAGTATATAAATCCTTTAATGAGATAACCATGATGACTTCAAGTTTAAAGACCAGCTTGTAACCATCTCATATGAGATTCCCATAGACTAAACCAAATGAGTTCTAATGGCGAGTTAAGTCTAGTGATATTTTCTCTAACATGAACCACCTTAGTGCTTACTTTGGCATCATTATGCCAATAGGTGTGCGATCTCTTATCGCTATCATAGCATTCATAAGTCTAATCGCATCTTGTTAATGTCCATTCTTGATAATGCTATGACTCGGGATATTTAATGATATCATTTTTGTGCATTAGTATTTATCTCACATCTTTTGATCAATCATTAATGCAAATGCATATCATATGAACTTTTATCTAATTCTATTCAGTAAAAAAATATAAGACATAAGAATTAATTAAATAACTTATTTAATAATAATAAATTATGCAATAATACAGTAAGTCAAACCTATCTAAAATTGACTAGATCTTGAACACCTACACTAACAACTATGACGTGAATATGCATTTAGTTTAAATTCATAACCTTTAAATATCCTCAAAATATGCATGACATAATAATTATGTACCTAAAGCATAAATTTCACAATGCTATCATAATTGATATGTATACATTTGATTCATCACATTCATTGATACAAATCACAAAAAAAAACACTTTGGTAGCATCATTTAGTCAATAAGTCATTGAACAAATTAATTCACTCATTTCATAACTTCCATAAACATAAGCAACCTTACAATGAACATATAATTTCAGAACATATAATTTCACACAATAAACATATGTAATACATTTAATCAACCATAAAATCATTAATCCAAATAATGGTATGGTTAACGAAATTTTATCCTAAATCTTCATATATGGCCAAAACTTTCCTTAGCCTAAGCTAGCTGAATTTTTCATTTTAATTACTAATTCATATACTAACTCATTTAATTATTCTAATTTCCTTAATTAATTCATGTAACAATAATAATACATGGATTAAATGTCTAATCCTAAATTTTCTATTTAGGCTAAATATACACCTAGTCTAAGCTAGGTGAAATTTTTTAATTTTAATTTTAATTCATATGCTAAATCATATAATTATGCTTTAATAACATATATCATATCAATTAAAAATCAATAAATAAAATGAATAATAAATCATAAATTTTTCCAATTTTCTTAAACGTTTTTCTTCAATTAGGCTAGGTGGCTTTTCAATTTCACTACTCGTTTACAAGCTTAATTAGCCTATTTCATCATTAATTTTATCAATGTCAATATTTAAATCTTTTTTTCATTTCACATGTTCAAGAACCCTAACTCTAATTAATTCAATTTATTTAATAAAACTTGAACTAATTGTGCAAACCTAACACTTCATGATAAATTAACTACATAACATCATCATATCATCAATTCACTCGCTCCAACATTAAATTCAATCCAAGAAACACATGTTCATGTACTAACATTAATCACAACAACCTAATAACTTCATAAATAAACTCTAACTAAATTAAGTTCAAGTAGTGTAATGAAAGACTATACTTACCTAATTTGCACCTTAATTGTTTCCTACTTGAATCTTTGTGAATTTCTTCCTTTTCTACATGAAAACTTTGGCCTCCCCTCTCTTCATTTTCCGCTTACTTATTTGATCTTCTAATTAAATTCCTTTATGAGTTTAGATGATATAGGATGTGTTGGAGGCTTAATTTTTTGGTTGAGTTCTTCCTTGCTTTCCCTAAGTTCATCACCTTCCTCTTCTCCTTTGTTTTAATCCAATGGTTCCTTAATTAATACCTGTTCATCTTTTTAATAAAGCAAATTAGATATTTTTGGACTAAATAATTTGCCTCATAAACAGCTGGCCAACAACAACCTAAATGATCAAAAAGTTCATTTTGGTCCATTAATTTATTTATTTAGTTCAATTGGATCCTTACAATTTAGTTCCTAAACTTTTAATTTTTACCAATTAAGCCCTCCACCCAAGCTTTCTAATTTAGAATATATTCTCTATATTTTATTTATGAATTAAATTAAATACCTAAACTCTTAATTTTAATCAATTAGG